CCACGCAGAGTGGATGCAGGAGGTCTGGTTGATGGAGAGTATACTGGTCTCAGCAAAAAAAAACCCCACGAGTGTAACTCATTGCCACAGTTCAGAAGTAGGCGCCGATTACTCGCAGCAGCCCCAAAACAGCTAGCCACCTGGTAGGAGCAGCCAAGTTGGTTCAGCCAGCTAGTGTCGTCGCCGACAGGACCATATTACGCATAGGCAGGTGAAAAATCAAGCCACAGGCACACATTCACCATGAAGCAGTGAGCAGCAAGGTCTCAACCAACGACCACAGACGGCCCGCGGAACGACAGCAACAGATGGCCGGCCAAAGCACCGGGAAGAGGTTGATGGGATGGTGGCCACCACCGCAGGATTCACTGGCCCAATATCCCCCAACAAAACAGTTTGTTTGGCAGCCAGAGTCAAGGGGAAAGGGGGGGAGGGAAATGCTAATGGCAAGGCGGGAAGTCGAGATACGGGCGCATCGAGGAGGATGGGGTTGTGGTACGATAAAAGCCAACTGCGATGGAATCACTGATCTGGCTGATATAGCCAATCAAATGAAGGGGGTGTGTCGCGTCATTACTCGATGCATGTGTAGGGGTGTTAAAGAGAGGGCCCGTTATGCATGGCAGCCTATGGAAAACAAACACAGTGGGCGGGGCTACGTAAGTGCACGAGCAAGTGCCCTCTACGACGTCCGAGCCAGACACCCTGGGGGGGGCTGGTTCGAACGTTATGATCCCCCGGGGCCCCACCCCTCAGGGAGGGGTTGGGTATAAAAGGGGATGTTCAAAGGGCTCAAGGCAGTTATGTTTAAGCTAAGGGAAGAAGATTGAAGACGTCTTAGATAGAGCCCTGGACTCCCCTGGTTCGATGTCCTTTTCAGGGCCGGACAGGATTGAGCCAGCGGCGTGGTCCCGAAAGCCAGAGCCGGTGCTCTTGTAAGAGCTGGTCTGGAACTCCGGGTACCGGGCCCGACTTACCAGTGTCGGGCCAGTTAGCCTCCCCTAGCCCATTAGTGGAGGATTCGGGGCTAGGACAGAGTTAGCTAGGGGTGTATTCCGAGTTATACGGGTGAGGGGGCCGATACCCCTCGAGTGTGTATATGCCCACTGTCATATTGTGAATAAACATACGTGTGCCTCAACCTCGGCGTCAAGCGTCCTCACCGGTACTTCAACTGGTGTCAGAAGTAATTCGAACATGGACACGCGGAAAACAGCGCGGGCCAAAGTACCGCAGGAGGAAGACACTGCCGAGATCGTCGAGCCCGAGACGGCTCCACAAGACAAGGTGCAGCCGGGGCCTGACGCCTCCTTACCGGGGCATCGAAATGAAGAGGGGCCGCAGCCAGACGCGTTACGGCTGGCTCACGGGAGGCTGGCGGAGCTGCTGTATGCCGCTGCCGCCACGCTGGAGACCATCACGCGACTAGGGGCCGGTGATCCAACACGGGGCGAGGCGAGCCAACGACCAGGGCGCCTTCCCGCCATTTCGGAGCAGTCCGAATTTGAAATTCCCGCCATCGACGCTACAGCTGTTCGGGGCGTGGCCAGCCTAGACATCCGCTCCGACATCGCCGTCGCTGAAGCTGCAACGTCATCACAAGCGCGACAGGCGATCCCATCGGCCGTTCGCACCGACGCACAGCCGAGTGGTGGTGACATCAGCCTGCGGGAGTCTACAACGACCGCTGCGCTTCATCAGAGACTGCCCCCGCTGAAGGAGTTCATCGGCGCGGAGGGGGACTGGGCCGGTTTTCGCCGACGTTTCCTCGCCCATCAGGAGATGGCGAAATGGTCCGATGAGGAGGCTCTCTGCGCGCTGCCGGCGCTCCTCGACGGCGACGCGCTCGCCGCCCTCACATCGGCGCCGAGAGAGAAGCGGTCTACGTTACCGATGGCACTACAGCTGCTGGGCGGGGTCTATGGACCATCGGCTGAATGCCGACAGCAATTTTACGACCGCAAGCGGGGTGAGAAGGAGTCGCCCCTAGCATATCGGACGAGCCTCCTGGCGATGGCTAAGTCGGCCTTCCCTCGTATGGACGACGACGGCATCGACGCTATGGTCACGGAGAAAATCCTCCTCCTGGCAGACGACCTTGACATCGCTGTGGTCGCGCAGGAGGACGCGGAGATGACATCGCTCCAGGCGGCAAGGCTCCTCCACGCCAACCTCCTGTCGCTCCGGCGGAAAGCCAGCAGGGCATCGGCGGGGCGTGCGGTGGCTGCAGCCACCCTTCCGACGGAGGAACTCTACGCCGTCGACCACCGACGGCAACAGGCGACGGAGCACGGTCGGGCCGGGACGGGTCGGGCCGTTCCGACCATCCGTCACCTCCGACGGCGCTCCCGCGGTGTTTTAACTGCGGCGTCCGGGGCCACGTCGCCTCGGGGTGCCGCTCTCCTCGTCAGCGCGGGACGACACCTCAACGGGACGACGGGCCTCATCACAAGCTCCACCATCATAACCCGGCGAGTCGCGGCACCCCACACGTTTGGCCCACACACACGCCCGTCACGCACTCAAACACCGCAACGAGAGGGGGGCCGATATCGCACACCATCGCACCATCACGCACCACTCCGGGTACTCATATCGAACCCGGCCAGTGGTCCGCGCTGGCCGATCGTGTGATAGCCGCATCGTCGGGGTCGTCGGCCGTTGTGGGGCACATCGACGGGGTTGAAGTGCGCATCCTGGTCGATACGGGAGCATCGGCGACCATTATTTCGGAGTTAATTTACAATATTCTCCCTGTCCGGAGCCGTCCTTTGATGCCTGTTAACGTACCATTCTATGCGGCTAACGGGGGCTCACTTGGCATCATCGGACAAATTCGTGCCCAAATTTGTATTGGGGAAATTAAATTGTCTGGGCCGATTTTTGTTTCCTCCTCGCTGGCGGTTCCGTGCCTGCTGGGGACGGACTTCCTGGCCAAAATGCCGATTAGGATATTAATCGACCAGGGATGTATTGAGCTCCCGTCGGGCAGACGCATGGCGTTTCTGCCATCGCCAGTTACGACTCGGACGGCGTTCGCGACGGTGCCGGCATTCGTAGAGAGAACGGTGCGCGTCCCTCCGGGGGCGCAAATGTTGATTCCTTTGAAACTTCGGCGGCCCTTCGCTAAGGGTATTGGGGCCCAAGGGGTTCTGTTGGGGCCGTCTAGGGCCGGGGTTAGTGGACCTCATTTACTTCCGGCCCAGACCATAGTAAGAGGGGACGGTGAACCCTTCATCGCGGTCCTCAATGTGGGCTCGCAGACGGTGGTGGTCCCACAGGGGACCGTGCTTGCTCACGCAACGCCGGTGCCATGTGAGGAACCCGTCGCAAATCACGTCAGCGCTGTCCCTGCGTCGCGACCGCATTCGGACAGCGATGAAGGGTGGCTCGAGGCGCTTTGTGCGGGATCGACGGACCTGTCAGATTCAGAGCGTCAACAACTTAAAACACTACTGCGGGAATTTTCCGACGTTTTTAGTCGGAATAAATACGATTTGGGTTGTACTCACCTGCTGCGTCACCATATTGACACGGGTGACAGCGCGCCAATTCGCCAAAATCCGTTTCGGTTGAGTCCCGCCGAAAAGGACCATGTCAAATCGGCTATTGATGACATGTTGGCCGCCGACATCATTTCTCCGTCCACCAGCCCTTGGGGAGCGCCGATTGTCCTGGTTAAAAAGCAGGACGGATCGTTGCGGTTTTGCGTTGATTTTCGGCGCCTTAACAAAATTTCGGTTGCCGACGCATACCCGCTCCTCGGATGGATGAATCGCTGGACGCCTTGGCTGGAGCGCGATTCTTTTCCACACTCGATTTACTTTCGGGATTCTGGCAGCTTCCTCTGGACGATGATTCAAAGCCTAAAACTGCTTTCCGTACACCGCACGGCCTGTTCCAATTCAACCGGTTGCCGATGGGCTTACACTCAGCGCCGGCAACTTTCCAGCGTTTAATGGAATTGGTTTTGGCTGGATTGCAATGGGAGTCGTGCCTCATTTATTTGGATGACGTTATCGTCTTTGGTAAAACTTTTGATGAACATCTCCAGAGGTTGCGGGCGGTTTTCCTAAAGATGCGGGCTGCTAATTTGAAATTCAAACCCCAAAAATGCCATTTGTTGCGCGATTCGGTGCGTTATTTGGGGCACATCGTGGGACGCTCAGGTATTGCTACCGATCCCGCCAAAACGCAGTGTGTCAGCTCCTGGCCGACTCCCACCTCGGTGGGAGAGGTCAGGAGTTTCATTGGGTTCGCGTCGTATTACCGACGGTTCGTCGCTGATTTTGCGACAATTGCAAAACCCCTGCACGCTTTAACATCTAAAGGGGTTCGGTTCCACTGGGGTCAAGAGGAGGAGGCTGCTTTCTGCTCCCTTCGGGACGCCCTGGTAAAAGCTCCTCCCTTGATTTACCCAGATTTTTCGAGGCCGTTTTTGCTCGACACCGACGCGAGCAACACGGGTATTGGAGGCGTGCTTTCCCAGGTGGTTGACGGCGTGGAACGGGTGGTTGCGTACGGCAGTCGGGTGTTGTCTCCAGCGGAGCAAAGATATTGTGTCACCCGTAGGGAACTGTTGGCAATTGTCTATTTCATCCAACAGTATCGCCCATATCTGTACGGTCAGCATTTCACCGTCCGTACAGATCATGCGGCACTGCAGTACGCCCTGAAGGTTCAACAGCCATCGGGACAATTGTCCCGATGGTTGGAGGTCCTCCAGGATTTCGATTTTGAAACCACCTACCGTAAGGGCGTTCGCCACACCAACGCGGACGCTCTGTCGTGCATGCCAACCGCCTCCGAATGTGCATGCCTCCTGGGGTCGGGGCGTTGCAGGCCAGCAGGGGACATGCCGGTTCTAGTCCTGGCGGCCGCCGCCGATGATCACGTCTATGTTGTCACACCAGGTTTCGGAGTCACAGACCAATTGGGACTTGCAAATTCAAGGGGTCCTGGCAGCATATAGATTGGCCCCCCATGCTGCGACGGGATTTTCACCCTTCTTTCTCATGTATGGCCGCGAACATGACCCACCTGTTCGGGCACAGCTGCAGATCCCCGCGCCGCTGGGTAAGACAAAATTGGACGAACACGTTAAATTTAACCTTGAAAAACTGACTGAGGCACGGGATGCTGCCATGCTAAATTCCGACAGGCGTCAAAAGGCGAACGAGCGCCTCAGACTGGCACGCGCGCACGTGCTGCAGTGGAAGCCGGGGGACAGGGCATGGCTGCACTGTCCCCCAGGTACCACTCGCGACGTCCTCGAAACTGGTGCGGCCGTGGCGGGGCCCCGTCGAGGTGGTCGAGGTTTTGCGACCTCAGTGCGTTCGTATCAAGTGGGGGAAGCGCCGGTGGTTCGTTCACCCCTCTAGGCTAAAACCCTTCGTTGCGGTGCGAGGCCCTACTCCACACACGCAGGGCCAAACATGTGGGGGGTCGACCGACTCGGAGGGTCCGTCTCTGTTGCTCTCGCCTGACGTCTTGCCGACTGTTCCGCCCCCAGGTACATCAGGAATGACGGGCTCGCGCCCAACAACCCACACGGGGGATGCCGAGGGTCTCGCCACTCCAATCGCGGACTCACCTCGAAAGGGACAGCTGCCATCGGATGGTCCGTCATCTGGGGTTGGCCCATGTGACGGGCCTGCGGCAAGGACGCGCGCAAAAATGCGCAGACTCTTGTAATGCACAGGAAGACGAGGAAAAAAACATTTTATTGAGTTTTTTTTGAAAAATTTTCTCGTGTTATGGTTACTGGGCGCTGCGTTGGTGGGGCGCTCTTGGCACGTTGTTGTTATGGCTGTGTGTGTTGTGTGTGTCTTGTGTGTGTGTTGTGTGTGTCTTGTGTGTGTGTTGAGTGTGTGTTGTGTGTGTGTTGTGTGTGCGCTGGGGGGGTTCCTGGCGAATGTATATACTTTGCTTTTACGGATTTCGTATTTATTCGGGGGGGGGGGCGTCGGTTTATTCTCCCTTCGGGGTATGGTTATTGTTGTTGTTCCATTCGCGTTCTGTTGAAAAAAAAAAAAAATGAGGCACACATGAGGGTCAAGGGGTAAAGGTACCTTTATTGGAATTGTTGCAGCCGGGACGGCTGCGAGCTGTGCAGGGGGGGTGATGTAGGGCTGTTATGGAAGGGCTGTTGTACATAGGATTAAACGGCGAACAAACACAGTGGGCGGAGCTCCGGGAGTACACGGGGGGGGTGCCCGCAACGACGTCCGCATCGGGCAGCCTGGGGTAGGGCTGCCCGGGGTTGTGATCCGGTGGGGGAATATAAAAGGGGATGACAGAGAGAGCTCGGGGCTCAGTATTAGAACGAAGAAGGGAAGACTGAAGACCCGGGTAGCTAGAGCCCTGGACTCCCCTGAGACGCCGCCCTTGTCAGGGCCGCGCAGGACCGAGCCAGCGGCGTGGTCCCGTGAACCAGAGTCAGCACTCTGGGACTCCGGGTACCGTAGCCCGACTCGCCAGTGTCGGGCCAGACAGCCTCCCCTAGCCCGTTAGTGGAGGACTCGGGGGTAGGTCAGGGATAGCTAGGGGTGTATCCCCAGTTATACGGGTGAGGGGGCCGATACCCCTCGAGTGTTATATGCCCACTGTTGTACTGTAAAATAAATACACGTGTGCCTCAACCTCGGTGTCAAGCATCCTCACCGGTACTTCACCTGCACTGGCGTCATACGACAATTCGGATCCCATCTGTTGAGAATGCACGGGGGACACACGCGGCCACGTGGTGAGAGAGGCATGGTGAGAGCTTTGATGTTCCTTCCCTTCTCCCACGAGGTCCAGGAACGCACAGCAGCAGCGGAAGCCACAGTAGCAGTGGCAGTCCTCTGATGCCCAGCAGCGGCTTGGACAGACCTCCCACTCCTCCACAGAGGGCTAACTCCACAGAGGGCCAGTGGTACCGCTTATTGGCAGGTCCACTCAGCTCCACATCTTCCTGGTGATCGGTGGAGAGTGGTCGCCAATCAATTGGAGGGGGGAATCCTCGTGGGGAGGGGGTGGGAGTGGTGGGTGGTTCTTACCGCAAACAGGAGCTGATGAATTCGACAAACTCCGGGTCATCGCTTTTGAGCACCCTGTGAAGTGGGAAGCTCCTCGGAACCCTTTTCTTGCCTGGGCAGAACATCTTCCCCCGATGGTCTGCAGGAGCCATGCACAGCGGAAGAGACGAAGTCACCAACCACCACATCGCCCATCTACCCACTTACTGACCGATTCATCAACCCACTCATCCACCTACCCACCCATACACTCTTCCACCTACCCAATCGCTCACTCACCTATCCACCTACCCACTCATCTACCCACCCACTCATCTACCCACCCACCCACCCTCTCACTGACCCGCTCACCCACCCTCTCACTGACCCGCTCACCCACCCACTCACCCATTCGCCCAATTACCCACCAACCTACTCGCCTACTCACCCACATACCCATCCACTTGCCCACACACCCATTTACCCACCCACATACCCAAGTAATGTAAAATACAAAGACGCCCCCTCCAAAACAAAATAACAACAGCCTGAGGCCACTCCCTAAAACTGAATCCGGTCTGTCATTCACCCCACGCTTCAACTCACCAAAGAACTGCGTTCTGTCGGGTGCTCCATTCACCATGTACCTTGGAGGCATCCCCAGAATCTGCACATGGTTGACATGAAGACAAAGGTCACCCGTATAGCTTCGGCACACTGTCGGGACAAGTGCTGTTAGATCGAGTAGCAAAATTAGCAGCGTTTGTTGAGGGCCAGCACTCTGGCACACAGAGACAGGAGTGGCGGTTGATTTCAGCCGCATCATCTCTACATAACAAAAAGGCTCAGTCCCTTTTACACGCACCTTTACATCATCCGCACCTAGTTTACACAACAAAGGCTCATTCCTAACAGCGTGCTTCAGCCGCACCGAACCTCACAAAAATAATATTCAGGGCCTACCTTGGCTCCTCCCACCCTCAACCAGTATATATACAAGGACTGTTTCTGGAATTTCTCTCACTTGATACAGCTATCGTGCTGTGAATGTTCCACCTGAAGACGGAGGCTTGTGTTGCCTCCGAAACTTCGTAATTTTTATTTTATTATTTTACTTTTATTAATTTTTCATTTTTTACCTGTGACTTTACCGAAAAAACCTAAGAATATGAATCCTTGCAGTCACGAAAGCTTCAAATCTAGAATTGACCCAGATACTTTACACACTCCACCAGGTACTCAGTTGAGGCTGTCTCGAACTAGAGGAGGCCCAGGACCAGTTCAGACAATCGTCACTGGTGTTGCCCATGAGCTGGAATCAACCTCAGTTTCTAGCACAGCAGACTGACCGCTACACTACCGCTCCCCCACACAAACAAGACACACACGTGTACACGCAACATACGACGGCCGTTATTCACAGATCACCAATTGGCCACCCCCCCTCCTGCCACCCCCATAGCCCACGACTCCAAGGAGAGAGAGGGGGATCACGAGCGGACAGACGCCGTGTGGGAAATACCTCTATGCAGCGCGGGAGGTGATCTTCGTGGCTGTTGGACCGGAATAATTCCCTGCCCGTCGCCAACTCCGCCACCGTGCAGCCCAGCGCCCACATATCCACTCCACATGTCAAGCTATAGCCCAGCAACAGCTCCGGAGCCAAGTATTCTAGGGTCCCACCAACATTCATAGCTGTACAAAAATCACAAGGACAACAAACATATGTGCGTGTGTACACACTGTGTCTTAAACAGCATCATCGTCATGCACATAAACAGTCACATGTACAGACACTCAGATACTCACACACAGACACACTCAGACAGACACTGACATATAGACACTCACACGGACGCAGAGAGACCCATGCATAAAGACAGCCATACAGACACCCACACGCAGACACTCACACACCCAGGTGAGGTTACTCACGTTGACTTTCCACGAAAAAGCTCGTGCCAAAGTCCGTGATCCTCACGGTGCCAGTCACGGTGTCTTTGACGAGAACATTTTCCTGGAGGAGGGGTAGAATGAATTCAAACTCAGAGGTTATGCCGATATCATTCAGCCAGCAGTGGATCAATCACATACCACGACACACGCTAAACAGGGGAACTAGATGAGGCATAGCCCTGTCGACAAGCGTCAGTCAAGTGCAATATTCGCTGTTTTCTGACAGCTGTCACTGGGGGTGCCCCTTTCAAATGTGTCAAAATTAAATTTTGATTTAAAGCTTTCGTGACTGCAGGGATTCATCTTCTTGGTTCTTTCGGTAAAGTCACGTAGAAGGGAAATAATAAAAATAAAACATAATAAAACAATTCTCACGACGTTTCGGCCACAACGCAAGCAGCCGTCCTCAGGTGACCTGAGAATTGTTTTATAATGTTTTTATAATGTTTTATTTTTATTATTTTTATTATTTTATTATTACTTCCCTTCTACGTGACTTTACCGAAAGAACCAAGAAGATGCGTCAAAATTGTAGATGTGAGTAGAGGCGTGTCACGTTCAAAGCACTCTCAGGCACCATCAAAGTGAAGGGGGGTGGCTCTATTGACAACCGATTGCCGTTGCTCCAACAGGAGAGCTGCATGGAGCTCACAGCTGGATGAGTGCCCGTTAACGAGTTAGAGACAAAAAGCCACACACAAGAGAGTGCACGGATTCCGTGAAGCTTTCTACTGCACCTTTGTCTTTGGACGTTTTCAATTTGCAGATTGGAATTCGATAACGAGCAGTTGTCAGGCCAAAATGCACATTTCGCACGTTTTGAAAATTGTTCTTTTTAAATCCTTTATATTAAGTTCACTTGCTTGCTTTCTTGCGCGCTTGCGACCGTGCAAATCTTTCGGTCGTTTTTTTAACCCACTTCCCGTGATCCAATCGAGCTGAAAATTTTGCACACAGACTCGTTGTGCGTGACAATTTATTTTCGTGAAAAATGTTTTTCCTAAATTTTACACTTTTTAGGAAAAAAAAATGTCATATTTAATTTAAAATACCAATGTGATAAAAATGAACTCTTACTCAAGAAAACCAGAAATGAATAATAAAATAAAACCGATGCCACGCATATAAAGGATTTATAGTGAAAAACTTTGTTTTTACGGGTTAATTTTTTTACTCCATTTCATGTCTCCCAGGGTTTGGGGCAACGCTGATCAACGTTGCCGGTTTTCTCTCTGGTGAGTCCCCAAGAGTGACACGATTCTACACGATAGTTTAATTCATACCAGATCACATTCACCAGAGGTAGCATGACCCTGCCTCCTTCCAGTGAGATGGGCAGAGCTAACGTATCGACCCTGTGATCAACACGGCCGGTTTTCTCTGTGGAACGAGTCCTCAATAAAGATACACCTCTGCAATCTTAATTTGTAGCTTTCGTGACTGCAGGAATTACTCTTTGGTTCTTTCGGTAAAGTCACGTACAAAGCTTGCGTACTTTGTCACCCGTCGTCCTACTCATTGACATGCTAATTTTTTCTCTAACCCCTCCCTCTCCGCCCCCACCCCCCTCTCTCTATTTAAGGCCTCGTCACAGAAACGTTCTCTGGTGTGCCGATGTGTGTTCTCTCTCTATGTATCTTTGCGATGTCTGTCTGCTTATATGTCTGTCTATAGTTTGCTGGTTAGATTTTTGTTGCTATTTCTTTTATACCTGATGACGATTGCTTGTGTTGCAATCGAAACGTCGTATGCTATTATTTTATTTCTTATTTTATCTTTATACGTGACTTTACCGAAAGAACCAAAGAGTGATACACCTCTGCACCAAAGTGAAAGCTGAACGCTGTGTCCACTCACAGGCTTGATGTCCGCGTGGACGATTTTCCTGGAATTGATGTGGCGCAAGAACTTGAGGATGCCCCTGGTGTAGGTTTTCACCATCGCCATGTCCAACCGCCGGAGCCCCGCATTCCTAATCACTTCATGAAGGCTCTCCCTGTGAGAGAGGCAGAAGCAGCAACAAAAACACGGCATCAGTACCATCCCCTACAATGCTGCACTGATTCTGATAACGATAATCACGTTCATATTGTACGTTCACGTGCACGTTTATGACCAATATTAAGAGTTATAGTTCCGTGTGGGTTGAGGTCGTCAATTTGCCCATAAACCAAATCAGTTGGCATATCTGCCCACTTGACAACTTGATTTCATTGGCTTTGTTGCCGGGTAGTGGAGGGTTATCCATTGGGAGAAGATAAAAACTCAACACAGGGGATTTTCGCCGAGAGGCACAAGCATCACCACTGCCATGCAGCCACCCTGCTGATTGAGTGGAGGCGTGGGTTGGTGAAAGTGGCAGGGCTAATGGAGGAAAGACAAGTGGCCTCCAATGCACCCGTGGCACATGGCAGCTCCACAGGATTACAATGCATGGGTGGTGGCGTGGGCATCTCAACATTAACAGCTTACTCTTTGGTTCTTTCGGTAAAGTCACGTATAAAGATAAAATAATAAATTTAATAATAGCATACTACGACGTTTCGATTGCAACACAAGCAATCATCATCAGGTATAAATGAAATGAAATAGCAACAAAAATGTAACCAGAAAACTATAGACAGACATATAAGCAGACAGATATCACCAAGATACATATGTTTGTCTATAGTTTTATGGTTAGATTTTTGTTGCTATTTTATTTATACCTGATGATGATTGCTTGTGTTGCAATCAAAACGTCGTAGTATGCTATTATTTAATTTATTATTTTATCTTTATACGTGACTTTACCGAAAGAACCAAAGAGTAATTCCTGCAGTCACGAAAGCTCCAAAATTAAGAATTAACAGCTTGCCGCGGTGGCGAGATGACATCTCCCCCGCCTGGTATGGAGGAGGTCCTAGGTTTGATCCCGACCGTGATGCCTGTAGATTTGGAGTTTGCATGTTCTCCCCGTGGGCATGTGAATTTTTCTGTGGGTCCACTGGTTTTCCCCTCCACATTTATAATCAAAATGCTACTTTTAGATTTAAAGCTTTCGTGACTGCAGGGATTCTTCACCTGAGGACGGCTACTTGCGTTGTGGCCGAAACGTCGTGAGAATTATTTTATTATGTTTTATTTTTATTATTTTATTATTTCCATTCTACGTGACTTTACCGAAAGAACCAAGAAGAAAAATGCTACTTTGTTAAGCTTTTATTTGTGGTCTGGTCGCTTCTAAAAAGTTAAGTTAGTTAACCACATTATTGGCGGAGGGGGGGGGGCATGCAGTACATACTTCAACAGCTCCATGACGATACAGTAGTGTCCTCGGAAATGAAATATGTTCAGGACTTTGATGACGTTGAAATCTTCATCACTGCCCTCGTCCTGAAGTTCCAGAGCTATCTGGAGCTCCATCTTCTGGTATGTTTCTTGCTTGGAGCTGCACAGAGGAAGTCCACAAATGAAGAGCCTACATTTACTTAAGGGATATCCAGAGCCAAATTCTACTTACAATAAAATAATTAAATATGAATTCACCAGGTCTAACAGCACCAGGAGTTCCAGTAGCACACTCGACTAACATTGGTTAGGAGCTCCCACAGAGGGAGCAGGAGCCGGTGTAGGGCACCCAATAGGATTTGAAAGTGAAGAACCATTCAAATCGGATTGGTCATTTGAGAAATCTAAATGCAAACTCATGTTAACACAACGCATTAATTCTAGATTTGAAGCTTTCGTGACTGCAAGGATTCATATTGTTAGGTTTTTTCGGTAAAGTCACGTAGGTAAAAAATTCAAATTAATAAAAGTAAAATAAAAATAAAATAAAAATCACGACGTTTTGGAGGCAACACAAGCCTCCGTCTTCAGGTGGAACCGTCACAGCCACGACAGCTGTATCAAGTAAATGAGAGATTACAAGAGCTACCACTCCGTATATATAATGGTTTAAGAGGGGAAGGGCCAAGTACGGCACACTTTTTATTAATATGGTAAGGTGAGGCTTAAGACTAAGAATAGACGTGACTTTACCGAAAAAACCTAAGAATATGAACACAACGCATTCTCACTTTAATGTGCCTCTTACATTCGGGCACACTTTTCGCATAACGCGGAATGTGCCCGTAATAACACGAACGCGCCCATTGCAACACGGAACGCTTCACGTTATAACGTAGAACACGCCTGTTAAAACACGAAACCCGCCCGTTATAACACGATCTGTGAGTAGTCGACAACAAACTACTTTCTTGAGCTGCAATGATACATTACTCGCAATGATAAAGTAACGTAACGGCATACCCTCAGTCATTGGTCTCGTCATCTCAAGGTGTATGAGTGCATTGTATCTCGCCAACCATTATTATTAGATTATTTATAGGAAAATTATTTTCGCTCAATACTTTTTTACTGAACGCTGAACTTTTAAGGAATGTATCTACAGCATTAAATGAGGAATTACCGTAATGTGCAGGTAATCTTTCAGCAATGAGATGTTTTGCCCCAATATTAGTTTACACTGTGTGTGTATTTAAGCTTTAGGGAGGAAAAATCTGAGAACCCAGAAGGAACTGATGCAGAACAGGGGTAGAACATGCAGACTCCATACAGCAGAGCACCCGAATCAGGAGTCGAACCCAGGCCCCCCTTCTCGCTTTGATGTACGAGTGTCACCGCTGCATCGCACGGCTGCCCGTGGTAACGGACTTAACAACAACATCGGCCTCGTGACGGCGCGGCTCTGAAGTCTTACCTCGATGGTGACACCAGGATCTTGATGGCCACCAGGATGTTTCTTTTGTGATCAAGGCACTGGATCACCTGGCCTTGACCTCCTTCTCCAATCTTCTTCAGCACCTCATAGCGATAGCGGAGGTGCTCATGCCGGAACTGCACAAAAGGTACAATCATTTAAAGTGAATATAATTAAAATCACAAAGTTTAAGAAGTGAAAATGTATATTCTTTGGGATATGCAAATTCCTTTGTCAAGGCGCTCTTCCCCCTCCAACCCAGATTAAATATATGCTGCCAAGCCTGGTGGTGTTCATTCAGACGGTGTCTCCCCGACAGACCTGTTCTTCACCTGAGGACGGCTGCTTGCGTTGTGGCCGAAACGTCGTGAGAATTATTTTATTATGTTTTATTTTTATTATTTTATTATTTCCATTCTACGTGACTTTACCGAAAGAACCAAGAAGATGAAACAGCTTAACAGCCCATTGGATTTCCTGCAGTATAAATACTTCTGATTCTACTGGGCACGTGTTAACAAACAGCTTCACAGCCCATCATTTCCTGCGTCATTCAGACGCTGTCTTTCTGACAGACCTGTTCTTCACCTGAGGACGGCTGCTTGCGTTGTGGCTGAAACGTCGTGAGAATTGTATTTTATTATGTTTTATTTGTATTATTTTATTATGTTTATTTTTATTATTTTATTATGTTTTATTTTTATTATTTTATTATGTTGTATTTTTATTATTTTATTATTTCCATTCTACGTGACTTTACCGAAATAACCAAGAAGATCTTTCGGTAAAGTCACGTACATAGATTGAAAGAATATAACTAAAAACTAAAAACAATCAAAGGGTTGCCGGGTGAAAATTATCATGTTAATGACAGATTAGTATGTTACTGGAATATCGCAGAGCCACAACCGAGGGGTCGGCACGCAAAGTGGCTGTGTTAGTATGAAAGCGCAAGTTTGAAATGGGCAAAAGCACAACTATCATCAGTAGGTGGTAGGATGGGAAGATCATAGCCAGTTATGACTTAAACTGGTTGATAACGTCCTTCCAATGATTACTCAGTTTGTACCCATCTTCTCGGTTTAAATTGTGTCTGTGTCGATAAAAATGGATGGCTTCATGAATGAATCTTTGTTGATAGCCAGTGGGCTTGCAAAGTACCTTCGTCTTAGAGAAATACATTTCATGTGAGCCCACTGCATTAAAACAATGATCAGCCACGGCTGAGGTATTGGTCCTACCGTGTTTCAGATCCTACCTAGTTTCGGATCTGCCTTATGTTCACGAACATAAGGCAGATCTGAAACTGTCGGGTTGGCTGCCCACCACTTGCATTAATATTGGCTGCTGACATTTGGGCTATGCCCATTTCAAACCCTAATAAACAGTTTGCCTTTGGAAGCTAACCCCCATTTTCCTGAAGTCGACCGATTTTGTTGCGATTGAAACGTAGTAGTTTTAGTTTTTATTTTCTTTGAACCTATCTACGTGACTTTACCGAAAGACCCAAAAATATGAATTCCTGCAGTCACGAAAGCTTTAAGTCAAGATTTAAGTGAGAATGTAATTTTCTAATATATTTTCTGTAATGATTACGTTTTTTAAATCTGTCATTGTGGAATGTTCTGATGTCTGCTGGCTCAGTCACCCTTCAAAATAGAGCTTCTTAGCTCAATGGGATTTACTCGCGATAAAAACATTTTGATTCTGAAGTGCATTGGTGTGTGTGATAGCCCTGGTTGGTACTTCAGGTGCAATGACAAGAAGCCACAAACCACGCTACCGATGGGCCCTGTGACCGCCCCCACAGCTGGTGTTTTGTTGCGAGCCTCACCAGAATGTAATTTCGTTCGTAGTCGTCGTATCCATCATTGTTGAATCCCTGAGATTTGTTGAACAGTGCAAAGTACCACACTTCCTACATGGCTGCGAGTTCTAGCTTCTCACGGTTGGTCAAGTGAGCGCCAAAGAGAGCCATGATTTCTGCAGACATGAGAATAACAACATCTGTGTGATCCCAAAGTTGAGCAATTTGTAGGAAAATATTACAGGATTGGGATGTTTTGGCCAATACCAGTTATGTCTGTATGTATGTTGAACTTCTTTTGCACCGTACGTAGGCAATGGTGCCAAATGGATACGCGGGGGAAGGAAAATTATTCTAAACATGAAAAGTTCTAAAGAAAGTAGTTTTCAATCTAGATGATTTAAAAGTGTATAGCTCCATTGGCTTCCTAATATCGGAAGTGCATCTGAAAGCGTGTGATGTGCTGAGGCCAGAGCACAGATAATCATCCCCATGCAACATGGCCACCATGATGCAGTCCCCCATGCAACATGGCTACCATTAAGTCCCGCATGCAACACTGCCAACATGAAGTCCCTCATGCAACGTGGCCACCTGGATATCACCCATGCATCATGGCCGCTATGAAATCTCCAATGCATCACGGTCACTGTGACATCCACCATGCAACATGACCATTGTGATGTTCCACCATTCACCATGGCCCTCTGTGACGTCCCTCATTACTGTTCTTACCTTGCGGTGATTTGCTGCAGATGGAGGCGGTGCCCTCTGAGGACAGCGCACTCCATGTGGTGCAAGATTCACCCTTACTCCTCGCCTCTCCAGCTCGGCTCATCTACACACACACACAAAGACAAAGGTCCACCATGTAAACTTTAGCAAGATGTTGGGGAAAGTGCAGGAGGTGAGCACTGAGCCAGGATCTCTGAGATCCTGGGCTCCACAATCAGGAGGGTCCTGCCAAGATGTTGTGTCAGTTCTCAGCGTTGGGATATTTGGCCAATATCTGATGTCACACTTGGATTTACAATGAGACACGTGTGGATTTAGAGGACACACGCAGGTTAATGGCATCCTTCAAACTGTTAAGAGAAGAGGGGCTGGGCCAGGACATGCCACGGCCAGGAGGAACAACGATGGCCGATGGTCAAGAAGAATAACGGAGCTGCAGCCAAGTATCGGAACACGTTTGAGAGGACAGCTTCCAGAGAGATGGAGCGACAAAATCGGTGCTTGGTGGATTATGCCAGGATCATGAGGGGTAGCAGGAACTCAGGGAAGGAGGCCTTCATCCAGTAGTGGATAGATACAAGTACTGTAGATTATTCACGTGTAGACAGGCAGGTACACAGACAGGATCTCAGGGGAGATACTCTGATAGATGCACACACACTCAGGCAGGCAAGTAGATGCACACTCAGGTATATGGATAGGCGACAGGTAGCCACACGCAGAGTGGAGAGCACACGTCCATCCATACTTCACCACACGAGTCGAAGAGCCACACGTACCTCCATGGCAGCAACTTGCAGAGCAGGGTGCACAGAACTCACAGCGTCTCTCGCACAGTCCGGGTCTCTGCGTGCGGAGCAGGAGACGAAGGCGAGGATCACAAAGAGTCGAGGGGGCATGAGGGCTCCCAGATCTCAACACGAGTCACAACGCGGGCTTACATCCTCACCATGAACCCACATCATCAACACAGACTCACATCATCACCACTCACTCACAACACGAAATACAAAAACAACAACAACAACCGACATTCGCCACTAAGTAGGGGTGATGACACCACGGCGTCTGTACCGGGCCAGGTGCACTTTTAGTCCACGTGAAGTGTCGAAGGCTGACGACGTCACGGGATAGACCCAGGTTCCAAAGGTTGGCTGAGATGACTGGCAGATACACCAGCTGTATCCCCAACTGTGCCAACTTGTTGAATTTTATCCGCTACTCGCTGTGAGCGTCACTCCTCTGTCCTCAGTTGTTGTTGGAAGGCGACTGCCTCCTACTGCCCGTGGGATCCTTCACGAGCTTCCTCGTGAAGGATGCTATCCACACCGCTGATACCAGTCTTCTGCAAGTCCACTCAGCTCCACATCCTCCCATACAGCATCAGTCCATATTTTGACAGCCCATGTCGTGCCCGTTTAGCCCCCTTTATGCAACCAAAAGAAACTGCTTGGGTATGCGGTCTACAAGACCCAGCCAATGCAGCCTTGCCTGCCGGAGGAGCTTACTGGTGGGAATGTCTCCAGATCGTTCAAGTATTTGTGAGCCCCTCACACAATCCAGCCTGGTTAAACCCAGGATGGATCGTACAATCAACAACACCACCATCAACACCATCAACACCAACACCACCACCACCAACACCACCACCACCACCAACAAGACTATCACCACCATCAACACCATAACCAAAAACATCACCAATACCACCCCCATCAACATCACCTCCATCAACACCACTAACACCACCACAACCAACACCACCACCAAGACCACCACCACCAACACGACCACCAACAACACCACAATCAACAACACCACCATCAACACCACCAACACCAAGAATACCACCACCATCAACACCACCAACACCAACACCACCACCAACACCACCAACACAAAGACCACCAACACCACCATCAACAACACCACCATCAACACCACCATCAACACCACCAACACCACCACCAACACCACCACCATCACAAACAACCAGAGGTGGGACAAAGTCATTGTTATGCAAGTCCAAGTCGAGTCTGAAGTCATCAAATTCATGACTCGAGTCTGACTCGAGTCCAAGTCACATGACTCGAGTCCACACCTCTGCA